GGATCCCTCGCTCATGATTCTTTTACTAGTTGCCAGCGAATGAAGATATGTTCGAATTCCAACTGTCCATTCGAATGCTTCTAATTCTCTGCCTTCGATTAGGTAATTTAAAGTTAGTTATTTCATGAAAATTAAAATTCAAACTACTAATTAAACTACCCTTTAATAAGAAGAGTAGTTTAATTGCATCGTTTAAAATATACTCTAATTTAATATACGTTAGCGTCAAAAATTTTTTAATTAAATTAATATAAATATGAAATTTCAGATAAAAAGTTTCCGAATTATTATTTTAAAATGTTCGATTTCTTGTTTTATTTAAAAAACAAGTAAAACGGTAAAATCGTACTTGGGACAAGACTATGTCTCAGAGACTCACTACTAAGTGGAAGCACTTTGATGCTCAAGGCGGGTCTCATTCTCATTCTCCAATCTTCTTTGGTATCACTGCTTTTGGGCGCGATCGTTCAAACTTCGCCGGCCACAATGCATTTTTGATGAAATTAATCTACCCAATTTCGAAATTTCTCTCCGTTACGTGTCGGCCCGGGTTGAATTTTTGTCGATGCGTAACGAAAATTTCCCGTTTTTTTAAAAGAATAATCGTGGCTATCGTATCGTCCGAAATTATTTTATTTTGCACAAACAATATACAGTTTAACGGGATTATAACGTCATCGGATGTAACGACGACCCTAATACAACGTCAAATTTTTATCGGTCCCACGATTTTATTATACAGTAGAGTCCCGAAAACTCGGCACTCGATAACCCGGCAGGCCGGATAACTCGGCCACACCCTAACAGGGCGAAAAAACCCCCAGGTAATTTTCATTTTAGACAGCTTTATGCCTCAAAGTATTTTCTGGTCTGTCTTATCAGGTAAATTACACTGTGTATTCATTAATTTTCATTTTCATTTTCATGTAGTAAAGGCTCTATGCCTTCATAAAGTACGTACAGGTACAGTACTTCTCCTTTGTTTAAGGATATTTGGGCAGTTTATTCTCTGTTGTACTCTCAAGCAAACAATACAGTATTTTCTGAGGAAACACTCGTACTTATTCTTTTTTAATCCCATTCCCGATAACCCGGCATTTTCACAAACTCGGCCACCCTTGGGTCCACATTAGGCCGAGTTTTCGGGCCTCACTGTACTAGTTAATGTTAAAAAAAACCTACTTGTAAAGATAAATCCTTGTTTTAATGTCATATTTGAAGCATTCTCAATTTTAGAAAATTAGATTACAAACTTTATTTAACAAAGAAAATACCACGTGTTCAGTCCTAGGGTCGGAGTCCACTTCCTAGAACGACTGTGGGTGGTACTCTCACCACCTGACTTCGATTTTCCTGTTTGTAGAGTGTCTCCATTTTGTATTTTATTTTGACGTATAAGTCTGGTTTTTTTATGCGCGCATGATTTTGGCAACTAATACTATGTGCCAAATTGCAACTCTTGACATATACTCTTTCATACCTCTATGCTAATAATAAAAAATGGCAGTACGATTTTATAATCAAGACTAGCTGCAAGGACCCGCTTCGCTGGGTTTTTATTTGTTCGTACATTTGTATGTAATATAGTTTTTTTTATATATAAAAGACTGTTTTTCTAAGTAATCTAAAATCTAGCTGCAAGGACCCGCTTCGCTGGGTTTTTAAAAAGTAACGATAGTGAAGATTAAGATAATTACATTATAGCCAATCTTATCCGTTTTCACAGAATGCAAGAATTAGGTCCCCCGTTTCCAGACTAATTAGAGAATTTTTACGTTTAGTCAAACGAACTATTTTCAACGTTTCTGGAACGTTTACAATCGTTCTATAATCGAACCAATATCCGAATTTTATGTTTGAATTTAATTCGAACAAATTCGAACAAAACATTCGAAATAGAAAGCCACTTTCAACCTCATATCTCCCGCACCCTTATAGCTATCGAGACGCAACCACCCCTATGCACAAATGGAGACTTGGAGCTACCACCACATACAAACACCATTCACGTGCGATGTGTAGTTTAGGCGAAAAAGTGAAATATAGGGACATACATGTCCATTTATATATATATATATAATCTTGTCAATAATGTTTTTTTATCAATGTGTTTAGTGATGACTTATTAAATATTTGTCGTGTTCTAATGTTTCTGTTGCAGAATATATCAGATTATCAATTTGAAATGCTTCTATTTCCAACGTTAATCTTCCATTAGAAATGGCAAATACGGTTTGAAATGAACGTTTTATAAGAAACTTCGTGAAAAAAGTTCCATTTTTAATTTAAATCTGAAATATAAAAAGTAGTTTGTAAAACGTAAATTATTTAAAATGACTTTAAGCAAGAGAAAATAGACACCCGAGCCAGGGCGCCCGTACATTGGGACGTGTGCTCCTCCTTTGTCCTGTGTTTTTTCTTTTAGTTATGGCAACGCAACACTTGGGCCATTTGCTTAGGGAGATGCCTTCCGGGAGGTCTTTTTAAGGGAAACTGGTCCCTATTTAGGTGTTACAAACGTGGAGAAATTCCGGGAAACTCTACGTGGCCAGCCCGTCCGAGCGAGCCGCGAACCCACGACCGAACTCAGTGTTCGGGGAACGAAGATCGCTTGGTCACTGGTGGGCCTTGTGGGTTTGCCCTTTTCTTAATCCCCAAAGAAGCTTTAAGGTTTCATTTCATTTTTTTTTTTAACTGATAAAAATATTTGTCGTCATTATCCGAGAATTTGTATCAGCTAATTTCATTTTCATCAATTATGAATCAATATATTTTGCTATAAATATTCTTTAGTTAAAAAATTTTTTTCACTTTTAATTTGGGATTAATTGGTGGTATTAGTATTACATTATTGCATTTGATTAACGCGATTTTTATATATGCGGTAGCATCGAGGGACTAACTGCGTTAATCAAGGCATACTTGTACCGGTACATATATACTGTATATCTTCTTGCATAATGAATTATGATGCCCTTTTTCAAAGCGTGTGCTCCCCTTATTTTAGTCTGCTGATGCAGTTGCACCTGACTCGTGCTAATCCAGCCTCCAGCTGTAATATGAGGAGTGCCTCAAGTGAATGCCGAATATTACCGAGATATTTATCCGTAAAAATGTAAGTTAATGCTTCGTGGATATTTACGACTTATTTAACAATAAAATTTCAACTTTTACGGCAACAAAAATTTGTCCTTTTTTGATTCACCCATCATCTGAAATCAAAGGGCTCCTTTCCAAATTGTCATCAGGCCACAAGTTAAATTATTTTAAATCCATTTGCAATACACACAACTGTTATCTGTTTAGAACATTGATTTTTTTTATTGCGGCGACTGTCTTATGCCTTTAGTATTTGGTAGGCAAACCCTTTGTCTGAAAATTCTTCCTAGGAATATAGGGGCAAGGGAGACATGCAAGAACTGTCATGTTAAAGGATGCTACCATGGTGAAATCTTGCTCTGAAAGTAAATTCTTGTTTTTGGCAAACAGAAGAATTATTAAAATCCAACGTCTAAGATAAATATGAGTTGATGGTATTTTTATTTTTCTGTGGACCATTTGATGAATTTTTCAACTTTAACAATATACTGGACTTTCTTGTCAGTATTGAATTTTATCATTAATTATGAATCTGAACCTCTGAATTATTATTCCATACATTATAGCTACTGTACTAAATCCTTTAGCTTACCAAATCAATCTTTCCAGTGCAATTGGTGTTTTATATGTATTCATTGTTTTGAACTGTTCTTTCATTCTGGAAATCATTGCCTTCTGTCTTTTTTTTTTAACATTTCATATTTTTCTCCTTAAACTACAAATGTAATATTTGAATGAATTCCCTATATACAGTGTCTCTCCACTCTTGAGTAATATTTTTCCAGTTGATTGGAAAAACTTTTTTTTATATTCAATGTTTTCTGAGTTAAGCACAAAAAATAATAATTTACAGAATTATCTCCTGTTCTAGTCAAATAATTTCATTTTTTTGTTTTCTTTTTCTTGAATATATATGAATATAGAAAAAATTGTTACTAAATAAAATAAAAAAAACAAACAATATATTTAAATTTTTTTATATTTGAGTTTTAATTTTTATCACTTTTACAACAGGATTCCAAATAAACCAATATTAAGTATATTTTTTCAGTAATTTATACGTTGAATTTGGAAGTAGCATTACTTGCAAAATCAGGAGTTCAAATGTCTTACAATATAGATAACAATAACCAGACAGATAAAAAAGAAAACAATCCAATCTAAATCAGCTAATTTCATTTTCATCAATTATGAATAAATATATTTGCTATAAATATTCAATTCTTTAGTTAAAAAATTTTTTTCACTTTTAATTTGGGATTAATTGGTGGTATTAGTAATTACACTAATCAAAAGTGATTCATATAACATTCTGTAGCACCTCATACAAGCAACAAAAGAAAATAAATAAATTTTAAGTTTATTAGGAAAATTTAACTCTCAAACAAATTCAATAGCAAGAAGAATTAAAGGCTTAAATAAAAAAAACACATCTTATTAAATTTTAAATCACAATTCATTTTTTTAGATCCCATTCTTCTAGTTATGAGGTAGGTTTTACAAGGCAATTTATAATAATGACTTTCCTGATTCTACAGTTAATGCTGAAATCTTAAAAAATAAATTAATGAATGTGTAAACATTAATATTTTCAAGTGTCTTGTACAAGGACATTACAAAATATATATATATTATAGTATTATATTTCTGATAGAAACAAAACTTTTCTAACATTTTAACATAGATAAACTAAAATTCTAAATACAATAAATTTGAATTAAATATATTGTTAACAATGCAATATATTAACATGTAATAAATATACTTGGTTTATTTTAAATAGAGGAAATGTAATATCTGTTTCTGAAAGATATATCTTGATTATGAAATTAATATAATTTACATTTTGAATAATTTATTTCAGAGTTTAATATTTTTTTCTTTTATAATACTAATTATTCAAATATTTTTAACATATAAAATATACAAAAATCAATTTCTTCAGATTACTGTTATACTATATTGAAAAACAATGATATTACATTAAATATGTACAGTACATAATAATATACAATATTGATTCATGTAAAGAATCTTCATTTAATTTAGAAAGGGTCAGTTTACATAAGAGCCTATAGAAAATAGTTTTGCATTTTGTAAATAGTTGATAAGATTAGATTTCACAAACTAGAGCTTTTGTTTCTGGTTTTAATAGTAGTTTTTCGTCCTCCGATTCTTGTTCGTCCGCATGCAAATTTAATACCGCAGCCGGGGAAAGCTGTAAATCACGTAACATTTCATCTTCGTTTGTCAGTTTTGTTCCACCAGGAGCCAATAAAGTATAAGTGACATTTGTATTTAAAAGATGCTCATTTAAAAATTCTTTTATATCTTTCAATGTTTCGTGAGAGTAAAATGTCCCCTGAAAATTTGCATATTTATTATTGAATTGTTAATGAAATAAATTATTAAATTTTTTATTCTTTCCAATGTTGAAAATTAATACAATTGAGATAGATTAATAAAAATTAGATGAGTCCATAAAGCATATTTCAAGAGGTTGTACATTGATTGTGTTTTGATCAAGAAACACCTAATGCTAGGGTACAAATTAAAAATACTATGAAAAATGTATGTTGGAGCTTGTTTAATTTTCAAAGTAATTGTTCCACCTGAGTACAGTAAAATAGTTATTGCCAGCAGGAACTGTTTGCCATTTTTCATAACAGTGTTCCTGCTGACAACTATTTTACTGTACTCAGGTGGAACAATTACTTTGAAAATTAAACAAGCTCCAACATACATTTTCATAGTATTTTTAATTTGTACCCTAACATTAGGTGTTTCTTGATCAAAACAACGAGAATACAATCAATGTACAACACAAACTAACAACATGGTTTCATTGTCACATAATTTGGATATTGTTTTTTAGTGTTTGTTTTTTTCATAATCCAAATAAATATATAATTTATTTGGATTATGAAAAAAACCAAACATTTTTCTTACCATAACACATCAAAAATTTTCAATAGAAATTCATACATTATTATGTATTTGAGCATGCCACACATGTTAAGATCAGTTTTCACTATAAAATTTTGTCCACAAGGTATGTTTCATCTATGCATCCGTGTCCCATTCAAATAAATAATTCATAATTCAAACTGGATTGTCACATGTGAGTTAATCACAATCATCATGCAAGTAAGTAAAGTTTGTTTATCTGTAAGGCTAAATCATAAATAGAATGAAAATTTATTAAAACATGACAGTTTGCTTGAGATTGCAAATGTGGCAATGCTTATAAAAGTAACAGGGGTTGCATAAAAACAGGAAATTTTCAACATCATGTAATTATTTTATGCACACAATTTATTTTTTATTTTGATGATGTTCATATTTTAACACAATTACACTACAAATCTCTAATCTGACACACATGGGATCAGAACAGTATTGAGTTAAGAAGATTGCCAGATTATTGAAGTAAGGTGAATTGAATGGTGTTGTGAGAATCTGAATTTGGGATTCATTTATTTTTATAAAATTTTATGTAATATTTTGTCACTAAAATTGTACTTTTATAAATTTTGAAGGAAATTAAGGAAACACAGTTTTCTAAAGGAAGTAACTGGTGGGAAAGGAAAGTTTATCACATACTATGATTAAATTTCGACCTAACTTCATCTTGATCGAATGACAAAGTCATGCTCCTGATTGGAGAATATTTTTCTGTATAAAAGGGTTATACGTGCCAAATTCTGGGCAGATTAATCAATTCGAATTATCTGTCAACACACAATTTTGTGTCTAGTCCCCCTTTGGATTCTCAACTTCTGCCTATACAAGTTCAAGATTTAAGTATCATAGAGGTATATTATTAATTATTATTGTAAACTCTCAGGTTAATTACTTTCAACTTAATAAACAAATAAAATTAAAAAGACCTCTATATTATTGTATTATATTCAGTTATAGTTAGATAGATAATATAAATTAATATGGTTGTAAATTCTCATATTAGTTGAAGTTCGATAGGAGGTCCCCACTCTTAGTATTTATAATAAATTTTAAAAAGGAGGGCTATAATCTTAATATCGCACCCTAACTTGCAAATATACTACCCTACCTGGTGTCAGTCCTGACTAGACTAATAATAGTGAAATCTTAGTCTTAAATTTTCTATTACAAACCATCCATTGACTAAGTGGGTGGTTTTTACTGAACTGTTGCCAATTAAGTGTTATATAGAATAATTTTATACCCCCTGGTTTCTCAGTTTAATTACAGTATTCGGAAAGAGATCAATTTGAGCAACCTAACAACATTTAATATTGTACCCTAGCCTAGGCTTGGTAAATATCATGCTATGTTTAGTGGATAGGTATTTGAATTAGTGGGAAGCTTGTCTATGATGTGACATACTGTAAAGTTGACTTTGTTTAGTGTTGGATACTAGATGTGATGAACAGTCAAATTACTGAGATTGCATTGTACTTAAAAAAATAATGGGGAAAAAAAGAAAAATATATTTTTTGGATTGGGATTGGATTTGCTACTCAAGGTACTGGCATGCTATAGGCTATATGGCTGTCTCAACAAGATCCTTTGTGAATAGCAGTCTTCATTACTCTGACCATCCAACCTTTGAGGTAAATATGGTAGTGCTGGTGTTGAAATTTTTTGTTGCATAACTTTAAAATAATAAACACCAATGTTCAGTGCTTTTTTTTGTCAATTTGCAGTATATGAAGCTGTATTCCTAAACATTAAAAAATCTTGGTAAAGAACACACCAAAAAACAAACTGACCAACCTCATCAGCAGAACCAACTAGAAAGTTGACAATGCAGCAAAATACATCAGCCAATATTTCTTGAACAAAATATCATAAGTACTGTAAGTTAACCATTTCTTCAGACTTAACAATTAAGAAAAACTATTTGGACAAGTCAGACTAAAAAATAGTGTTGTGGAGTCGGAGTCACTGACATTGAATGTTTTTAGACGGAGTCAGTAAAACTGTTTCGACTTGAGACTGGTCTCAAAGTTTACTCTTGGTTAAAATGGGAAGTAAGAAATTTCTTTAGAGAGCCTACTAATTAATTAAAAAGTATTTGTTAGAAAACTGACATTTTGATAAATTTAGATATCAAAATAATATTAACCCATGAAGGTTATTTCATAGCAAAATGTTATGCATAGCTCACATGAGATGTTCTATACGTTCAGAAAATAGCTTTAAGGCCCACCAGTGGCCGAATGGATAAAACCACTGAACACTTAGGTAGTCATAGGATTGTGCCTGGAAAGTAAAGCTTATGGTACCACTTCAAAGCACCAAGCTTCTCTTTGGTAAAGATAAACTTGGTGCTTCAAAGTGGTACCATAAGCATTTATTTTCCAGGCACAATCCCATGACTAACTAAAAGAAAAAAGTTTACTTTTGAGTGTCATAATTTTTACTTGTGCAATATTGTTTTTTACACCTCAGATGCTTTTCTTTGGATAGCAAATGTTTTTTTCACTGCTTCAATAACATAATTTGAACTTGGTTTTACTTTTTTCATTGACTCCTAAGATCAGAATCTAACTGCAACAAACTAAGAGAAGAGAAAACTGAAAAATCTAATTAATAGAGTTATTATTTCAGTTTATTATTCACTAGTTTTCAGTGTAAATCAATTTTTTGTAATTAAATAAAAAAGTGGAATTCTTTTGGCTATTAAGATCATGTTTCTTTATGTACTGTACTTGAAACTTTTTGCAAAGTAAATTTGTTATATCCATTTTTTTTATTACCACCATCAATTTTAGATAAAAATATTTGGGTACCCAGTGATATCTTTCTTATAAAAAAAATCATAGTATGACATTTTAAAAATGGGTAAAGTCTGAGTTGGAGTTTGCAAACAAAAAGGTCCACCACACTGCTCAAAAGGTACCTTTTTTTTCATAAAGTACTAAAACTTTTTACAATTCAGTTTTTGTATTACAAATAATCCAAACTATTCAACAAGAAAACTGGAAACTGCTTCATATGGATAACAGCTGTCTTTGGACATTTTAACTATTTGAAAACTATCCTGAAGTATTCAAGCCTCACCTCCATACTAACAAAAAATTTGGAAAATCAAAGTTGTGAACAAAAACTTCAAGTAAGAAATTTATTCCATAAATCAATCTGTAATAAAGATCTGTTTTTCTAAAAAACTTTCTTAAATTTGTTATTTTTAGGTTCATTGTGGCCTAAATGCATCCATTATAAAAAGTTTTATTACTATTACTGTATATAGAAAAAGCTGCACAATGCCTGAAATGTTTTTACTCTCATCTTATTTGTACAACTTATGGACTGATCAGATAACAAAGATGGAAGCTGCAAGTCTGAAAGCATTTCTATCTTAGAAATTTACAGGTAGCCAAGTGCACCATTGGGTAATTACAATGTCCAAGGAAGTCAAATGCATGTCTAAAGCTCGGGAGTGCCTAAAAAACGCAGTTAAAACTAGATTTGGCTTAGAAATGGATAGCTATTTGAAATTTTATATTGCAATTAAGAATCTTGAAACTTAGAGGATGTCTCTTAATGAATCCCTCAGTAAAGTCTACAACATTGGAGAAAAAGTATGCTCAGGAAGAAAGGTTTTGTTGTCAGCATATAATTTTTGAATACTTTACTATAGAAGAACAAAGAATATCAAATCATGGATACTGTAAGTTGTCATGTATATTTTGTAGATCAAAATTGTAAATAAAAAAAAATCTAGAAAATGTTAATAAGTATTGTAAATGTAAATTATGAATAAGAAATTTACAATAAAAACTTTACTACCAGTTTTATATTTCAGGTACATTTTTTTGGGTCAAAAGAAAGTCTATAAATTTTCCTTACTCTAATACCAGTTTTTGTGAGAATTTTTTCATCAAAATTATTGCATGTACTTAATTTTCATATTTTATAGAAATTAACCAAAGTATTTAGTGCTATCTTAATACAGCAATTATTCATTTAGAATGTTTTCAAACAAATTTAGTTCAGCATTGGAAGCAAGAAGCTGGACTAAGATAAAGCTGAAAATATTTCTAAAGGAAAAATAGGGTATGATAAAACAGATTTGAATTATGTAAATTTTTTGAATACTTGCCTGTAAAAGTATTCCATCTGGAAATCTGATGCGAATCAAAGTATATTTATAATAGCGGCAATGTCTTTTTTCATCTCTCTCCCTCATTTCTTTGGTTCGAAGTTGAGTTAGTAATTCCACTCTATTTGTTCTAGGGGAAAAAAATAAAAAAATTGAAAAAAATTTTAGACATGACAAATATAACATATTGGCCAAATATTAGTTGATGTTTTTCTCAATTTTAAAAGGGAGAAAACATTTGACTTACATTAATCTGACTAAAGCTTTCTTTGATTTCAAACTGACTATGGTACACACTTCAAAGTTAAACTAATGCTAAAATTTGGTGCATCAGTTATTTAGCAATGTTAAACACCAGCAAGTTGTAAATCTGTCATACGTAGCCTCCTGTAGACTATGTGCAGAAATTGTTTATCACAACCGTTTTTATATCAAAACTGATTCTGTTGAATAACTTTGATTAGTAGAGACTCTTAGGAACAAAACAAAAAAAGTCTATCAAAAATAGGGAGAATGTTGCTGAAAGTTAACCACAAAATTTATGTATTTAATATTATAAGTGTAAATTTCCGTGTAGGTATACATTTTAGACAGTTAAAAATGAAACCATTTTATTTTTGTCTGTCTTAAATTTTCAACAGTCATAAGTGTGCAAATATACTTTCCAGAATACACATGAAATATGAAGTCTACTTCCCCATGCATAGGACATTTTTTCTATTTTACTCTAACTTATTAATTTCATTTTTATTAATAATATGACAAATAAGTATCAATAAGTTACAATTTGTCACTCAAACTGAATTGGACACAACATTATTTCTATACAATATTTTGAATACAATTTTCTGATCAACTAGATATGATTTAAATGCAATTTATAAAGCAATTAAAAATTCATTTGTAATGATTCATTCTCAGACACATGCTTGAGACAAACAGGTTCAACTGTTTCTTTCAAATAATTTTCTTTCAAAACCTCTACCTCAAATTGCAGAGTAAAGTATCAATAACAAATTCAAAGCTCAGTGACTACATTTTGATAGCATAAATTGTAGTTGAAAAACATCTCTTGCAATAGTACATTTGCAATTAACACTGCTTTTCTTTAAATGACTACAAGTTTGATTTCAGTCTTCTTGGTTAAAAAAAATTGGGGATAAGAAAACTATTGAAAAACTACTACTGTTAAATTATATCAAAACTCTTATTAATATCTAATACAGGTATGTACTGTACTTGCTATTGTATACTGTACCTCCAATCAAACCCATTAATGTTTTCTGTAAGAACTTTATCTTGAAACCTATTTATCTCAAATTTTTCTCATTCCTGTGAGATTTAAGATAGTATTTATAAATACAATTGAACCTGTCTTTTTTAAAGTATTTCTAACTAAAAAACAAAATGGAATTGAAACAGCATAAATTTTCATAATCACATAGATAAAAAGTAATAAATTCCACATATTCCTGTAGAATAGTTAGAATAGCTATGATCATGAAAGATTGTTGGTGAAGACAATTATAAAGGGCTTTAAGAAATGTGTACCATCAAGTTGGACAGAACAGATGATGTACTGTTCAAGGAAGCTGAAGAGAGAAACAAATGCCGACAATGAAAGTTCTGATGAAGTATTGTTTCAAATGACTAATTTTATTTGGATTAAAAAATTTGGAATAATAATAGGTCAATTTATCTTTTTTTAAAAAAATTAGAATCCGAATACAAGGATTCCAAAATTGGGAGTCTACTCATATTTAGAAAATATGGTAATTTTTCTAAAGAAATCAAGCTAATACAACAATTTAATTAAACAGAATTTTGTGAATATTTTTTTAATTATAAAAACTTCACATCATTGACAATGCTAATGTTTTTAACATTACTTATATTAATATATAAAACTAAAAACTTCAAAGAGAAAATGCTAAGCTATAATATAATTATTATAGAAATAATCATAAATTAGATAATACTACATAACAAGGGAGGATATAGTTGAGATGCCAAAATGCCAATTATAAAAAAAAGATAACTATTCATTAATATTTACATTTTATCCCAATGCAGTTATCAAAGTATGACATTTGGAACAAACATTTGATAAGTTTATGAACATAGTTATATTAATTCAATCCTTAACAAAGTTTATTATTAGAATATTTCAGAGATCAAGGCTGTATACTTATTTCTAAATAATTAGAGAATAATTAAAAATTAATTTCATTCATTAAACAATATAGATTCAAAAGCATAAAGGCAATGCTTAACTATTAAAATTTTAAAAGCATGATACAGTGGTGCCTCGTATAACGTACTTAATCCGTTCCAGGTGCATATCCGTTAAGTGAAAAGTCTGTTATACGAAACGCATTTTCCCACAGAAATACATGTTAAAACATATAATTCGTTCTGCAGCATAAAATAACCATACTGTACCATTAAAAAATGAAAATGGAGCAGTCACCAATTATTCCAGGTAGTCAGATGTTGTGAGGAGGTGGAGGAACACTTTCTTCACATATTCATACAGATACAGACTTTTTACACATTGCAGCAAATCTCTTTTTATTGTTTTTTAATCGGAGTCAGATTCAGGAGAGGCTACCGCAGCTTGCAGGGTCAACTCCTCTTGTTCCATCCTTGTTTTTTTGCAGCTGGCTTCTTGAAAAACACGTCCAAGGTAGTCTGTTTCTCTCTCTTCTTAAACACCTGTCGGAAATGATAGGCAAGAGTGTCATTGTAGAGATCATTGATCCTGTTGGCCTCAGCTGTGTTTGGATAGTGAGTGTTAGTAAACTCCTGAACCTCTCCCCATTTGACAACGAAGTTTTTGTCAACTTTCACTCCTGATGATTTCTTGCTTTGTTTCAATTGAAATCACCTTTCTGTTTTTTTAGAAGCTGTGATTTGCACAACACTTGAATAAATGTACATACCCTGCACTGAGGTGATGTACGTAATAAACAGGGGAGCAAGCCCAATCCCAACGAGAGCTCTGTATTTCAGATATACTAATAATACTAATCTATATATATAAAAATGAGTGTGTGTGTCCTTCATGCATTACCACACCGTTTATCCGATTGCCGTGAAACTTTGGAAAGTTGTTTAATATACTCCAGCGAAGGTTTGTGGCATAGTACGATTGCCATAAAGCTTTGGAAAGTTTTTTAATTTTTTAATACACTCCCGCGAAGTACATTTATCCTACGATAGATGGCGCGCGTTTACACGAGCATTCGCGCACAGTGTGTTTGATCGATTTCAAATTGTGAAGACCATTTCCCCCCTTCAAAAAATATCTTTATATATGCATTTGTGAACTGTTATTTACGATATTTATAATAATTTTTGTTTAATCACTTTATTTCGACTTTTTTTGCTAATTATGTATTTGCTCGAACTTCGTTAAAATCTTAACTGTACCCCAAACAATGACTGAAGTTGTAGGAAGAAATTTGCCTATTTTACCGATCTAGGTATCCCCCTTTTTTAAATTTTAATATTGACTCAAAATAATTTAAAAAGACAAATTACAATAAAACGGTTTATTATCCGACTATCAGAAATTTTACAACATGCCAAGGAAGAGAGGAAGGAACAATTAAATAATTAAAATTATAAAGGATTAAAATATATATAAATGGGGAATATCGTGCTTCTGACAATCGCTGCGAGTGTGTGGGCTAAATTTGGAGAATCCGTGCTTCTCGCGTGGACAACTGTACGTGGCCGGCTCATGCATCGGAAAACCTTCCGATTTATTTGTGTACTCACCAGACGGAGAAACAAAAAATATCGTGTATCCACGAGCACTCCAATAAATAAATAGAATTGAAACAACACTTTGAAATGTTTTCCCGATGAAAACGAATAATAATAATAAGTTTCAATAAAAGTGATAAAATGAAAATTTAATTTTATCATTACGAGTTTGCTTGAATTTTGTTTCTTCTGAGATCGCAGCAATGCGCGACGGGTAAGCTAGTATATTATAAAAATAGCAGATTGTCATTGGCAACAGCAAAAGAGTGGAAACATCATTCGCACATGTTCGCAGAAAGTCCGTTGTTTGCCTCACATAACTGCCGAACGGAAAGTCCATTGTTTGCAGCCAGTCCATTGCTCGAGTCACATAACTGCCAAACAGAAAGTCCGTTATTCGCAGTGTCTGTTATTCGAGGTATACATTATACGAGGCACCACTGTACTTAATGATAATTTTATTATGAATCTTTATGGAAATTACCGATTACCTTACTGGAAAATGATAAGAGAAGTTTAACGAAAACAAATTTGGAAGTTATTGATATAGATATATTTGAAAATAAAATATGAGTAAAAGTGATTTTATTAGAGATGAATAATTATACTTAATGATAATTTTATTCAGAATCTTTATGGAAATTACCGATTACCTTACTGGAAAATGATAAGAGAAGTTTAACGAAAACAAATTTGGAAGTTATTGTCTGTAATAAAATTTAATGAGATGATTAAAAAATTTATCTATAGTCTTAGAGTAATTCAGAGTTGAATTTACAGCTATCACTTTCATTNCATTATACGAGGCACCACTGTACTTAATGATAATTTTATTATAAATAAAATATAAATTTTTAACATTTTTTTAAATATCGGGGAAAATGCATTTAAATAAATACACCTTATTTGTAAAAACTATTTATAAAATGCTAATATTACTAAAATTTGTCATCCTATATATCTATATTAGAGAAAATCAATGGTCTGACCAAACAACAACAGGACTACCAATTCAGTGGTGGCACAGATTCAGCTCGTCATTAGATGTCACAACATGAACAATTGATGATGATGTTCAAATTAGATTTCAATATGCATATGAGTAAGATACTACTACTGGTTTTTGGTATTTGTCACAATTCAATTTATAAAATTAATAAAAACTACATTTAATTGACATTCATGTAATATAAATGAAATCCAATAATTCATATTTAAAGGTGCTTAATTAACTAAAATTAAACAAAATTTATTAATGTACTATATAGTATACATTATAATATTAATGTTTAATGTAATATTTATTAATACTAGAAAGCCAGTTAATTAAAATTAAAAATAATTAAAATCTGGTTATTA